TCACAGTTGTTTCTTGCTGATGACACTGTGCTTTTGGGAGATTCTGAAGGGATGTTGTGAAGGTTGGTGAATGAGTTTGGATGGGCATGCAAAAGAAGGAAATTATAGGTGAACATAGGGAAGAGCAAGGTGATGAGGATAACAAAAATATTTAGGTAATGAAAGATTAGTTATCAAATTGGAGGGAGGGAGCATAGAGGAAGTGAATGTGTTCAGATATTTGCGAGCAGACTTGTCAGCAGATGGGTCTATGAAATATGAAGTGAATCACAGAACTGATAAGGGGAAAAATGTTAGTGAAGCACTACAGAGTCTGTGGAGACAAACAACATTATCCATGAAAGCAAAGAGAGGAATGTATGAGAATATAGTGGTACCAACACTCTTATATGGGTGTGAAGCATGAATGGTGAATGTTGCAACAAGGAGAAGGCTGGAAGTAGTGGAGATATCATGTTTGAGGACAATGTGTGGTGTGAATATAATGCAGAGAATCTGTGGTTTGGAGATTATGAGGTGCAGGGTTTCTAAAAGTATTATCCAGAGGGCAGAGGAGGGGTTGTTGAGTGGTTTGGACATTTAGAGAGGATGGAACAAAATAAAATGACTTGGAGGACATATAAATCTGTAGTGGAAGGAAGGTGGTGTAGGGGTTATCCTAGGAAAGGGTGGAGGGAGGGGGTAAAGGAGGTTTTGTGTATGAAGGACTTGGACTTCCAGCAAGCATGCTTGAGCGTGTTACATAGGAGTGAGTGGAGATGAATGGTTTTTATGACTTGTGCTATTGGAGAGTGAGCAAGGTAACATTTCTGAAGGAATTCAGGGAAACCAGTTAGCCAGACTTGAGTCCTGGAGGTGGGAAGTACAGTGCTTGCACTCTGAAGGAGGGGTGCTGATATGTTGCAGTTTTTTAATTGTAGTGTAGGCATGCCTCTGACAAGACAATGATGGAGTGAATGATGATGATGAAAGTGTTTCTTCTTTTTCAAGCTACCCTGCCTTGGTGGGAAACGGCCAATGCGTTAACAAAAAACAAAAAATTGCTGCTATACATCCACTGATGAAATATGATGTATCACTGCCATACATCATAACTCATATCCTAACCCTTCATCACACTCAAAGCTTCAGTCCTCCATCAAGCTGAGATTATTTTAAAATATTTCATGTAACAATGCTTCAACATCTCATAGACTTTTAATCTTTCTTTCTTTCTTTCAACACATTGAAAGTATCCCACCAAGGCAGGGTGGCCCAAAAAGAAAAACAAAAGTTTCTCTTTTTTAAATTTAGTAATTTATACAGAAGAGGTTACTAGCCCCTTGCTCCCGGCATTTTAGTCACCTCTTACAACACGCATGACATACAGAGGAAGAATTCTGTTCCACTTCCCCATGGAGATAAGAGGAAATAAATAAGAGTAAGAACTAGAAAAAAAATAGTAGAAAACCCAGAGGGGTGTGTGTATATATATGCTTGTACATGTATGCGTAGTGTGACCTAAGTGTAAGTAGAAGTAGCAAGACGTTCCTGAAATCTTGCATGTTTATGAGACAGAAAAAAGGACACCAGCAATCCTACCATTATGTAGAACAATTACAGGCTTTCGTTTTACACTCACTTGGCAGGACGGTGGTACCTCTCTGGGCGGTTGCTGTCTACCAACCTACTACCTAGGAGACTTTTAATCATCAGTAAATATTTTATTAGCAAGTAAAAATTAGCTAGGGTGTTAAGTTTTTTCCATATGTAAATTATGACATCCTGTATTTGTCATGTCTGTCTTATACATACAGTAATGATATTCTTGCAAAAAAAAAAAAAAAAAAATGCATACTAACCCTATCACTAAAACTGCTATAAACAATCTATACAACTTACATGTGCATTCTACAAAATGTTTTGTTACAGTAAGTTTTTAAAGATTTATATAAACTTTTCTAGTCACATCAAAAACATAAAAGAACTCTGATGCCAGAGTAAATAATTTGGCACTTTTCTAATTCTTTCAATGTTTTCATTTGAAACTGTTTTTCATAAAAGCATGTGACTGCAGAAGTCCTGATAACTGCCAAGAAAAACACAGCTTTGAAAAAAAAAAAAAAAAAAAAAAAATAATAATGTAAAGAATTTGACCCCAATAGACAAACTTATGGTTTGGTAAAAAAACAAACAAGCAAACATAAACAATAAAACGGAATAGCAGACAACAAAGACAGAAGAATATAACATCCAATATGATTCAAGTTATGAATTTTTTAACAATTCATTAGCAAAAAAATAAAAAAGTGCATGAAGCAGTATGATATGATGGTTTTATATTTCAAATGAGAAGTATCCATTAACAAAAGTAGAATAAATAAGGAAGTACATAGCAACACAGAGAGATAAAAGAGTTGATCAAGAGAAAGATAACAATAACTGATAAAAGAAATATGTATAATGTAATATTTTGGCTTAAAAAAAAGGTATAATATTTATAGAGTTTGGAAGGAGCTGGGTTGAGGTATACTGACTGAAGTTGTCAGAAAGTTATCTTTAAATGAAAGCAATTTTGGGGATCACTGTCCTTGTGTCCTGATCCTAGGCCTGGCCTCCTGGTTGATGGTCTGATCAACCAGGTTGTTGGTGCAGTCCAGTGTAGGCACTAGAACCTCGCTCATGAGGAACTAACTTCAGGAACTTAACCAGGTCTCTCTTGAAGTTAGCTAGGAGTCTGTTAATTCCAATGCATGAAGGGAAGGTGATGAAAAGTCTCTCTCTCTTAACATTTACATAGTTGGTCTTTAGTGTATGCAATACCCCTGTTTTTCATTGGAGGTATTCTGCACTGTCTGCCAAGCCTCTTGCACTTGTAGGGAGTAATTTTGGTGTTCAGAATTGGGGCTGATCCCTCCAGAATTTTCCAGGTGTAAATGAAGATGCATCTTTATTGCCTACATTCCAAGGAGTACAGGTCAAGGGCCTTTAAGCATTCCTAATAATTGAAGTGCTTGATCAAATTTATATGGGGAGTAAAGGTTCTCTGTATATTCCCCAGTTCTGACCAGTGTCTCAGTGGAGATACCGGTCAGTGGTTTAGAGCATCTTGTCTGCTTCCTTACTTGTATATCAAATCACATTTGTTATTTTCCAATCATCTGGGGCTTCACTGGTTCTTTATAATTTGCTGAAGATTAGTGTTAATAGCTTGTACAGCATTTCAGTATCTCATAATATTGATGATGGTGTGCTATCTGGTTATGATGCCTTTAATGATTAATGCTCCATTAGGAGTATTTCTTTGTCAGTCATTTCTATACTTAACAGTCTTATTTAGTTTATCCTCTCTTTTATGTCTGATACTGTCCCTTGCTCCTCAGTAAAAAATACTTCAAAATCCTTTGTTGAGCATAATGCACATCCTTATTTCATGTCAGGTCATGTCCTCTGAATGTTCCTTCTTTTATCTTAATCATATCACTTGATCCTTTACTATCAATTTTCTTTTAATGTGACAAAAGAAATCTTTTGGTCTATCTGCCTTGGCTTTTAACTCTATTTAAAAAAATTTAATTCTTTCTTTGCTCAAAGATAATCATTTCTGATCCCTCTGTTAGCTTGCCTATTCTCTGGGCATTGGTTCTTTATGTATGTTCTTTATACTTTTATGCTCTTAGATTATTCCTCCTTACACTGACAACCAAATGTTTTCAATCTCTCTTGTATATTTTCCTCATGGGTTAGTATAAACTTGCCTGAGTTAATTGAATATGCTTGTCTTAGGGTTATATGGCTGAAAGCAAACCAAAATATCAAACAAATACCTACCTTAAAAACAATGAGCTCATGCCCTACATCTTTGTTCTACAACCTCAGCAAAAATGACTTTGACAACCCACTCACTCAAAGACAAAGGTAACAAGCAGAGTGAAAACTAACCATGATCTTGAGGAGCTAAAATAAATCATTTGAATACCACACACTTTACCAGAGACCTAAAATGAGCCAGGGTTAACCTTACTGTACATACAAAGATGGTGGCAACTCAAATGCCAGCAACTGCAGACTAATAGCAAACCTCCCAGTGCCATCAAAAATTTTAGAAAAAAACAAAAAAAATAATTATAATCAAATGTCTACATCTTAAAATACAATATTTAAAGTTGAAGCCAAAAATTTGTCATAACCTAAAAAAGCAAAGAATGCCATAAAAGAATGCTAAAATGTAATCTTCATTGCACTTATGAAAAACGAATACTTTATTTTATAACTTTCAATCTTACACTGTAGATCAGATAATTGTACATCACAATGGATTCAGTGGTTATGCCTTTAACCTCATCCAACTGTACCCAACCAATAGACATTATTAATTAACTTGAAATGACACTAACTCACACACTCTCCAAATAAAAAAAATGGTGTTCTCAAAGGCAGCAGGGCAAGAAAAAAGTAGAAAAAGCAAGGGAGATAAAGATAAAAAATGAAGGTTGAGAGGAAGAAGAGTATGGAAGAAGTAAACAAAACCTTCCATAACAATTCAAGTGACGTTTGAGAGCATGTGACGATGTGATGAAAATGGCACAATAAAGTAAACCAAACTGAGTTACCTATACCTAAACAAATCAACATATGCTCAGTTAACTTACTCCAATAATATCAAGAATGGATGATGATGCTCTTTATAATTAAGTACAGTATTTGGAAAGCTTTCAATTGACAGTAAAACTAGTTTGTATGCCATCATTAGAACATGATTCAATTAATATATCACTTAAAATACCCAACAAACAGGTCTGTGGCATAATTCATAACTTCAGTCATACAGATGATTAACATTAAAACTGGACAATACTTGCAGCAATTTTAAGACTTAGCCATGCAAAGCAAAAGTTCCAAAGCCACTGTCATGCATCACAGCTGTTAATATCTACTTCTGTACAAACTTATAAATCCAGCCTACCATGCAACAAATATTTGATGCTAAAAATAAAATCCTGTTACAACACATGACATACCTATTCTTGCGGCTTCTAAACTGTTCAGGTTTAGAGCCAACCGAATTAGTTCTGATAGGTCGGTCAATCGAGGAATCATCGTCTTCGGAATATCCGTAATATGAACCACTTCCGCTCTTCTCAGCTATAAAGTCAGGAAAGCGATGATCAGATGAAGGTGTTCCAGATGTAAACGAGCAGCTGCTGCCAGGGGACATTTCAGGAAAGGAATCACCTGTTAAGAAAGTATAATTACAAAGGGTGTGTAAAGGCATTAAGTTGAAAGTGAACACAGATAAGAGTAATGTGATGAGGGTATAAAAATGATTTGGATAAAGGAAAATTGGATACCATATTAGAGGGAGGGAGTATGGAAGAAGTAAATGTTTTCAGATATTTGGGAGTCGACATGTCAGCGGATGAGTTTATGAAGGATAAGAGTTAACCATAGAACTGATTAAGGAAAAAAGATGAATGGTGCATTGAGGTATTTATGGAGACAAAGAAGGGAATTTACATGAGTATAGTGGTACCAACACTCTCATATGGGCGTGACGCATGGGTTGTAAATGCTGCAGCGTGGAGGTGGCTGGAGGCAGTGGAGATGTCGTGTCTAAGGGCAATGTGTAGTGTAAATATTACACAGAGAATATGCAGTGTGGAAATTAGGAGGTGTGGAGTTACTAAAAAGTATTAGTCAGAAGGCTGAAGAGGGGCTGGTGAGGTGGTTTGATCATTTAGAGAGAATGGAACAAAGTAGAATGACTTGAAGAGCGTATAAATCTGTAGGGGAAGGAAGGCTGGGTAGGGGTCATCCACAAAAAGGTTGGAGGGAGGGGGTAAAAAAAAAAAGTTTTGTGGGTGAGGGGCTTGGACTTCCAATAAGCGGGCATGAGCATGTTAGATAGGATTGAATGGAGACGAATGGTTTTTGGGACCTGATGAGCTGTTGGAGTGTGAGGAGGGTAATATTTCTTGAAGGGATTCAGGGAAACCGATTAACAGGACTTGAGTCCTGGAAATGGGAAGTACAATGCCTGCACTTTAAAGAAGGGATTCGGGATATTGGAAGTTTGGAGAAACGTCTAAGCTGTCATATCTGGGCGCCTCTGCAAAGACAGTGATTATGTATGAGTGATGGTGAAAGTGTTAAATGATGATGAGAGTTTTTTCTTTCTTTCTGGGTTTTTCTTTCTTTTTGGGTCACCCTGCCTCGGTGGGAAACAGCCGTGTTAAAAAAAATTACAAAACAGATGAACCAGTGGTTGTCTTGGCAATCACACAATGTTATTTTTTTTTTTTTGTCATTTGCCCAGTTTTCTACCTTATATTTAAATTGTGAATGACTTATGAGGATAGAAAAGTTTGGAAAATTTATAATTGGAATCCCTTCAGTCCCAAACAAATTTAACCCTTCAACGGTCCAAACGTATATATATGTTCACTCGCGCAGCGCCCCGAATATTTTGAAAAAAAAAAAAAAGTCTTTTTATAGAAAAAAAGAGCACATTTTTTTAAGTATTTTAGAATAAAAAAATTTTTTAGGGTCAATACTTACCGAGATACGAGGCTACAAAGTTGGCACTTGGCGATCACCTGACGGCAACATGGAGCACTGCCGCTTGCAGAAATTCTACATATTTGCCGTTTTCTTCCATTTTTTTTTTATTTTCATGGTTTTCATGACATGATAATTATGCTTTATGGCAAATCTTTTGATTTCAATGCCAATTGTTGTTCATACACCAATATTATATATGAAATTATCATATTGTCATAAACACACATGTACACACTGACAGGTGATTTTGCACACCTGGCTGAATCACATTCTATTATCTACAACTATATACATGTACAAGTATTTACATGTCCTACTTATGTTTCTAGAACTCCACAACTGTATGATACTCCATGAAGCATGGATTCATACAGAGTACCACCCCACACTGGTGACAAATGAATCATGTGTCCTTCCACTGCTGGGGTCGTTTTTTGGTGGTAGCACACACAACACACTTTTTCTGGGCATTCTTCTTCTTTTGGGTAGGTGGTATTGGTACCAGATAGTGACAGTTAGGAGTGATTCGGTCTGGCACTTTCCCCTCTGGCTGTGGTTGGGGGTCAGGTTGTGATATGACAGGTCACTGTTGAGGGGCAGGTACAGGTGTGGTACCATACTTTCTTGCTATCTGTTTGACAACATTCAGAGAGAATTCTGCAAAACATTGTCGTTTTCCAGTCTTTATTTCATACATATTGAATGCATTGAGCACTGCAATGTCTACAAGGCGAAAAAACAGTTTTATATACCACTTGCGACTCCTATGCACACAGTCAACAAATCCTATCAACTAGACGCATATTGTTCGTATAGTCCACGACAGCAGCTGGCTTTACAATAGGTTCTTTGTCGAACTTGCTCAGTCTGTCTGTCTGTACCATCTCATTTCTGTGGATGGTTGACAGCAATGTCACAGCCCGTTTGTCATGCCACGTCAGTGCCATGATGTCATTAGCATGAAACACTTGCACTGCACCTTCAACACTGCCTCCACTGAACCTTGGCATATGTTTTCTATTCCTTCTCACTGTTCCACATATATCAGTATTGTTCACACATAGGAAATCAGCGAGCATAGGGCTTGTATACTAGTTGTCTGTGTACAATGTATGGCCCTTGCCAAGGTATGGTTCCATCATCCTGCGAACAACATCACCAGAAATGCCCAACATCCGTCGGTCATCATCAAGTGCGTTTCTCCTGGTGTTTACAATAACATCCAACACAAGACCACTCTCACAGTCACACCTAACAAAAAGTTTTATACCAAAGCAATTACGTTTGCTCGGTATATATTGCTTGAATGACAAGCGTCCCTTGAACAGAATCAAGACTCATCAACAACAATGTTCTTGAAGGGATAAAAGTATGCACTGAATTTCTGCTTCAAATACATAAACACTTCCCAGATTTTGTATAGAAGGTCATTTCTGTTTGCCGTATTTCTGTCTGAGAAGTGCAACATTCGTAGCAACAGAGTGAATCTGCTGCAGGGAAGGAGGTCACGGAAACTGGAGTACTGATGAAGTGGTCTGTGGACCAGTAATTACGTACATGTATATTGCTCTTATAGATATGTGGCATAAGCATGACAGTGGCAAAGAATAAATACATTTCAGCCACTGTTGTGTCCTTCCACCTGTGCAGCCGTGACGATTCTCCAACCTCTGTTATGTTGTCCATGACATATTGGTAATAATTGTTTGTCTGGGTCACTATCAAGTTCATTATAGGCTCGTCAAAGTACAACTGGAAATATGTAGTCTAACTCTGTAGACTCATTCGTTATGGGACATTCTGGATGGATACCACTTCCACTCGCATCAAAATCACAAGGCTGTGGCACGAATATACTTTGTGTCCAGCTCCACTCACGATCACATGGTGCAGGGTGGACCTGTGGCATAGGGCGAGGGGGAGCAGGAGGAGGGACAGGAGTGGAGGCAGCACATGGTTGAGGGGATGTCGGGCAGTCCTTTGTTTGTCCACCCGCTGCACCATGTGGTCCAGGCACTGTGCCACCCACCACTACTTCCTCCATCCCCGCATACTCGCCTCCATGATCACTTTCACTATCAGTGGCTGGGGTTTTGGATCGTGACCTGCCACGACCCTTGGGGATTGCATATGGCACACTGCCTAAACGTAAATAATGCCTAAAAGTGCGCTTCACTGGTGAATAATGAACTTCACTATCGCTAGACGAATCCTCGACTGGCATAAAATCAATCTCATCATCACTTACATCACTTTCACTATCACTAAAACACTGAGAAAATGATAGTTTCCTCTTGCAAAGTTGCCTATGGGTAACACTTGCCACTCCAGAAGTGCTTGGCCCAGGGTCTTGTGTGGCCACACTGGCCACCCCAGAAGTGCTTGGCCTAGGGTCTGCTGTGGCCACACCGGCTACTCCAGAGGTGATTGGCCCAGGGTCAGGTGTGGCTACCCCAGAGGTGATAGGCTGAGGGTCATCTGGGTTATCGTCGACATTTTCACTAATTCCTTGAATATTACTGGCCCCACTGGTGTCAAATCCACTAAACTCACAATCTATATCACTTTCCTCGAATAGTAGTGTGTTAATACGACGAGGTGTGAGTGAATCACGAGGATGTGCCATGATGTTGACCCAAGATGGAGCTGAATGTAACTGGTCCTACCATGTGGTACCCAGGTGTCCCAGATTTTTTGTATACTGCGCACACCCATTCTCTCATGTCTAGGCGACTCAAGCCTATCACGCCAATTTTGAAGGAATGAAAAATAAAACGTATATATATGTTTGGGGAGCTGCACGCGAGAACGTATACATGTACAGTGGACCCCCGCATAACGATCACCTCCGAATGCGACTAATTATGTAAGTGTATTTACGTAAGTGCGTTTGTACGTGTATGTTTGGGGGTCTGAAATGGACTAATCTACTTCACAATATTCCTTATGGGAACAAATTCGGTCAGTACTGGCACCTGAACATACTTCTGGAGTGAAAAAATATCGTTAACCGGGGGTCCACTGTATATACGTTCAGACTGTTTAAGGGTTAAACTACTTATTCTTTCTGGGTTCTTGCTTTTATTATTATAATGCCATGCTTTATCACACAGAATCATGCTTTGCATGTCTCTATATAGGGAAGCCCTGCTTTACAGCGATTTGCTTTATGGTGATTTACTATTACAAACATTTCAAATTACGACCAAAAATTTTTTTACATGGCTCTCTGATTCACTATTACAGCACTCATGCACCACTCTATTTGTTTACATTCTCAAGTGAGCTCTGCATCTATCAGTTTTGTCTGGAAACTTTCCAAAATTTCAAGTGTTTTAAAGTTGTTGTGTATTTAATATGTGTATTTTTTTAACACACTGGCCGACTCCCACTTATGCATACTTGTATCAAAATAAACTTACACTCTGAGCTGGCATGCAGGTACACATTAAAATCACTATGAGTGTCTCACTAGTGTTGAAGATGCAATATTAATAATAATAATAATCATAATAATAATAATAATAATCTAGGTACTAGGTTGGTAGACAGCAACTTCCCAGGGAGGTGCTACCATCCTGCAAAGTAAATGTAAAGTGGAAGCCTGTCATTGTTTTACATGATGGTAGGATTGCTGGTGTCTTTTTTCTGACTCGTAAACATGCAAGATTTCA